CACTTCCAGGTTTAGAGCATTCACTATACACTTGACAACTCAGTATTGGCTGCCTGCTACTCCTAGCTGTCTAAACCAAACGACATCATCCCTAAAATTAATCACACTCTCTTCCTTTTTTTGAGACAGTTTCTCTGTGTATTCCTGGCTGTCCTCTCAAACTCACAGAGATCCGCCTGTCTCTGCCTCCCAAGTACTGGGATCAAAAGTGTGCGTCACCACTGCCCAGGTAGCACTCTTGTACAAGCAGGCATTCGGGTGCATACCTTAAACCCCAGCACTTCAGAAGGAGAGGCAAGTGGATCTTTGAGTCTGAGGTGAGCATGGTCTGTACAGTGAATTACAGGCCAGCCAGAGGTACACAGTAAGACCCTGTCTTAAAAAGGACAGAGGGGGTGGGGGAGGTTGACTGGTTAAGAAGAGTAACATTTTGGCTGGGCAGTGGTGGCTTACCACTTTAATCCCAGCACTCAGGAGGAAGAGAAAGGCAGAGCCCTGTGACTTCAACAACAAAAAACAACAAAAAGAAGAGTAAGGTTTTAAAAATTATTTTATTTTTATTGCATGAGTGTTTGCTTGAATGTATTGATGGACCAGCCTGACTCCATCTTAAGGATGGAAGCTATTTTGTTATAAGGTCAGAACAAGTACATTTCTGTTGGCTGCAAAATTCCAGTTGACTGAAATGCTTTAACCTGTTTCTGGAATGTGACACGCTCCTACCCTATGGAGTTGACTCACACCTTGAATATACCCCATAAGATGTTCTGCCAAATCATTTTGAAATGTGCAGCCAAGTTCCTACGTAACCAAAATTCCTCTGGCAATCCCCCAACCCTGGAACCCCCACGAGTCTTGCGGGTTTTTTAGACTATATAAACCCTACCTCCTCCTGTGATGCTATTTTTGCAAACTCTGATTTAGGGAGACAGCCCTGTCTGACAGAAAAGAATGCTTGCTTAATTTGACCAAAGAATTTGGGTAATAGTTACTCTTATCCTCTGCAAGACCAGCCAGTGCCCTTAACCAGTGTCCTTAACCAGTGCCCTTGGCAGAGAGGAAGAACCTCAAGTGAGAAAATGCCTCCATAAGACCTGGCTGTAAGCAAGCCTATTAAGCATTTTCTTTTTCTTTTTCTTTT